CTAAACGTAACATTAAAATCTATTCAGTTACAGAATGCAAAATTACATATAAGTCTAATTTCGAAATATGTATATGACATTAGTATTACATATTATATAAAATAGACGTATTATTTAATAAACAAATTATATTTTTAATATCTTTTTATACAGTTTTTATTAATTATTTTAAATTTCGTAATAATGTATATGACATTATTTACTAATTATGTATGCGTATGTATGCTTCCATCTATATTCATTTCTATATACGTATATGTACCCAGACACCTGTTAGCTACTAGCGTGGCTTACTATGTGCGTTTCACTGGGGGATTTTCCGAAGTGATGACGTATACCAATTACTTATAAATAATTATATACACATTTATATTTTATAATTTTGACAGTTATTTTGAAGGTATATTCCCATAAAAACTATTTTAGAAAATTCATTAAATACAAGAAAATATATCCGAAAAAATAAATTTAAGATCAAATTTAACATGCTTTAGATAACAACTTACCTGTATTAATTTGAAGTGAATTATTGGTTTCTTCATTTAATATAATTGTTTCCTTTAATATGTTATCCGGAACCAACTTTATAACTTCCATGTTCGTGCTTTTTTAACATTTATTTTGTCACTCTTGTAATCATTCACATATGCATATGTATACTCTATTTTTTGCACTCTTCCTTTCTTGAAATAAAAATATTGTTTGCAATAAATAGTTTAAATAATGATGACCATATTTCAAAGTTATTAACACGTACGAAATTAAACGGTGAATTTATAAAGAGATATAGCTACTCAAATTTTGTTAATAAATAGAAAATTAATGAGATTAATTTTAGAATTTTTCCCGCTTTGAAAGTAATGCTACTTTAGATATCAAATAACTACATGAGTAATAACAGAATAGAGATGAGGCTAGTCAACATCGAAGGGTACGTGCATTTTCACGTCACAAGTGTGTGCGCAGGCGCTTCGTTATGAAAATATATTGTTATACAGAAACAGAAGAAGTAAATAGAAAGAGATTGTAGCGTGGGAGGGCGGGAGGACGAGCGAGAGAGAGAGAGAGAGAGAGAGGGAGGAGTGAGAAATTGAAAGAGACGGTATGTATATAAGCTTAAACTGAAACAGGACAAATTTTCCAAGGATATAACGAAACGGAGGTCTCATGCCTTCCTAGTGTTAGTAATGTACATGCATGCACGCATGCGTGGGAAGCCAATAAACAAATAAGAGTAGGTATCGGCTTCCTTGCATAAGTTTTTACATTAACTATGTAAGCATAATTGCAAATAGATTTTATTGCATAAGTAAAAGCATTGAATTAAACACTGAACGAGGGTAGAATTAGTATTGAGTCGAAAAATTGGAAACGAAATGTGTATAAATGCAAGAAACTGGTGCGAGTGATACACAGGAACAACAGAGATAACGAGGATCAAGTGTTTCTCGGTGAAGGTCACAAACTTTAGTTTCCCAATGATTAACTCCATTTGGCCTTCCCCTCATATCTGATTCTCGTTTATTCATGGTCGCGTAGAGGCTTCTCTTTTCAAACTGTTGCGCACATGCTTATCATTCTTATCACTTTTTTGTAGTTCTACTGTTCATTTAAAGTAGCTACTATTAACTAATTTTATAATTTAATTTTTCTCTATCTCTATGCACAGACTAACTATTCTTTAATTTTATGATATTTTTAAAGAATTTTTATAATATTATTATACGACGATTTATTTTGTTTTTATTTTTAGATAATTTAAGAGGACTTAACTTACAAATTAACTATTTTGATATTATTTATGAATAAATAAATAATACAACATTATTTTATACGATTCTCTGCAAGTTAAAATTTTTATAAACTAAAATTAAAAAAAATACAAGTGTTTTCATATTATAAAAATTTATTTTGTAATTCGCAAATTTATTTCCTTTATTAAACTGTATTAATATATTAAAAGTACTTTGCATCGGATTTATAATTTAGATTTTAAATTTAGAATATATAAATTATTTCTAATAAACACTAAACAAAATTTCTAATTTAAAATATTTTAAAAATTATAATATGTGTGAGTTCATTTAGAAGTTATATTGTTAACTAATATTTTTATAAAAAAATTGGACAAAAAATTAACCAATTCATTTCTTGCAAATTATTTATATTTTATACAGTAAAAATCAGTTAATGTATTCAGCCTTCGGATTACGGATAGCAACTCGACAGGTTCCGTTAAATTTCCTAACTGTAACAGGATGTCAATATAAATAAAGAAATATTTTCTATTATTTTTATGCAGTTTGTGTTTATTTTTATATAATTTGAATTAATATTTTTCTAATATTAAGATCTTTAATATTATTTAGATATTTTAAAATAATATTATAGTATTCATACTGTTAATATGCATTAGTGAATCCAAAATTAAATGTTTCTTAATATTCTTATGCCTATATTCTTTCATTTTCTTATGTTTAATATCTATCAAATTTTTATATGAAATTTATCGAAATTTCCATTTTTTCTAGTAAAACAGAGATAAAATTTCGGACATTATAATGTAATAAATAAAAAAAAGAAATTTCAGAAATCTTTTACATTTCCATAAATTTTCTTTGTACTATAAAAATATTATTAAACTGCAGTTCATAGGAAAATTTAAAGAAAGCGTATAATCATAAATTTTATAATTGATATAAATATTTTTGGCATAGTTTCAGATTGCAGTATGATTATAGTTATAAAAGTACATTTTTAATTATTATGAGTCAGAAAGTACGTTTTTATAAGTATTAATAAAATTAACTTTTGTATTTTATAAACTTTTCCTCTAAACAGCCAATAATTTATATTTTTCAAATTATGTTATACAATATTATTTAATAAAATTGAATATAATTTTAATTATATATGTATTGTATGTATGTATTGTATTTGTATGTATGTATTGTATTTGTATGTATGTATTGTATTTATATAATTTTATTAATTTTTAAATTTAATTATTTAAAAAGAATTAGTACAATTACGTAATAAAACCTACGTACATATATATCTTTACATTTGCATATAATCAAATATAAATTCTCCTTTTCAACTTTTCATTTATAGCTTTGCATACAAATATAATTTCGTTTTTATTTAACATTTTTTTATAATTATATATTCTTATGCAGACTAAAGAGAATTTAGATTTTTTCAAATATACTGTGTTGAATGTATTTATTTTTCAAATGTAAGTTATTATTAGACCTTATTTTATTGTATGATTACTAGGGAGTAAATATTTTTCATATTTATAATAATAAAACTTAAAATTTTATATATACTGTTTCAGTAGAAAAAATAAAATGTATTCGAATAGGTTTTTATTCTTTATTTCTAATTGAAAAACTAAAATAAATAATTTTTAAGTAAAAAAAGCTATTAATAATATGTTACATATTTATTTTATTGATATTGTACAATAGAATTTATGTCGAAATAATAAATATAAAGAACCGCAGTAATGAAAACAAACTGTAATGACCAAATTATTACAAAATTATCGCACATGTTTCATCTTGAAAATCACAGAACTATGAAATTTTCCATATGTAAGATTTTTCCGATTAAGTATTAATACTAATTTAATAAATAAAAACATCGACATATTTTGTTTATATTTTGAATATTTCCTGCATATAAGTACATAAAAATTATATTTAAATAAGATTTTACATATATAATTTTATTTATTTTCACAAGTATCTCTCTAGAAACTTTACTATGTAGATCAAGTTTTTACGCGTAAAATATATGATTATTACTTCCAATAACTAAAATTTTGTACTTTAATATCGCTTAAAGTTTATGTATGAGTGTCCATTCTATTTCCATATAATTTATGAAATTTATAATGTATATATATTATATAAATATTTAATTCATATATTAATTTCCAAAAAGTTAATAACCAATATAATATATTATATTATTATTATTATTATTATATTATATTATTGATATTATATTGTGTTTTCATTAAATTAAAATATTGTTTCATTAATTATTTTTATTTTATTTGTATTGTAAAGATATGAACATTTTTTCTTATGCATGCTTTTATTCAGTATTTGTTTTATAATAATATTATCTAATACATGTTTCATTGAATAGATATACATTTCTTTTAATATTTTCATACGCAAACTTACGTATCTAATATATTTTAAATATGCATATATATTAATATATCATTTATTATTTGAATCTATTTTGTTCTTTTTACATCAATGCCAATTAAAAAAAATATTTAAAAGAAAAATAATGTAGATAATAAAATTATAAATTGCATTTTTAGATTCATCTTTTTAATTTAATATTGCTTGTGTTACAATTACTTGATCAACATATAGTTTTTAGTAGTGATTTACCAATATTTTATTGAAACCAAATTTATTACTTTTGTTAAATTTTAAAATTTAAATATTAATTTAATAATAATTTTAAATATTTTCATATTATCGTAGATTTCGTGCTAAAAAATTTGTGAAAAGTTCAAGTAAAAATTATATTCAATTCATATTTTTATGTAATATATTTATTTTCTTGATAATTTTATTACATGTGAATCAAATAATAGAATTTATCAGAATTATTATTTTAAATAATATCTCTCTAATAAAATTTAAAAAATATTTACAAATATTCATTTTCCACAAAGCACTTATTTATAAACATTAATTATATTAATTAATTAAATTTTTTTTCTGCAGGTGCAAACAATTATACAGCAAGTGATATCTTATTGCATCGATTTAGAAAGAAAATTTAAAGTAGCCAATATAAGAAAGTAGCAAAATCACTTAATTATTAACAAGTATTGTAGAAATATAATTTATTAACTACATATATGAAGCCAACAATATTATTAACAAAATGTTTTAGCATTTACAAATAGTTATAATAGTTTTCGATAAACAATCGATTAACAAAATTTAATAACCTTTTTTTAATAAGAGTTAACATTCATTTTGTGGTTTCTGAAGTTCTGTATTTTGGCAAAAACATTTTCTAATACGCACAAACGTGTATCTGATCTGCTTACTCGCACGATTACACGTCGTTAAAACACCGTGACCGAGAATTTATTGGATCATAAAGCGCTTAAAAAATGACTCTCCGCTCTCATTCTTCATTATTTCAGCATATTATAACAGTTGTTCCAGAATTATGCTTGCATTTATCCATTCAGCAGTGTTGACATCGAACGAGTCCTACTTCATCACAATTCATGCATTTCAAAGCTACGAATTCCGTTGTAAAATCGTTGCGGTGCATTGATTTCTTACTACCATTGCAAACAGGACAAGGCAGTAGACAATAACCTCCACATACTTTGCACGTATTGCAGGCATCTAAGCTCTGAAATAGAAAAATAACCTGAAGTTTAGAAAGTATATTTTTTAAGCTATTTTATATTTTTATTTTGTAAAGATATTAAAATATATTTATATCAATATTAATAGAATATATTAATTACTGTACAAATGTTAATTAATATTAATAATAATTAGATTCATTCACACAGACAAAATAATATGAATTTCATGAAATAATCAAACAATTTCATGATAATAATAATAATATAATAATAATAAAATAGTAATAAATAAATACATAGATATTATTATTATTATGAGAAACTTAATAATTCTGTTATTTTATTACGAAAGAAATCTTTTCAATTATATTTATAAACAAGTTTATTTACATATGGATAATTAAATATATGTGGATAAATAAAGGTAAACATTTATAAAATCAGATAAACTAATTATATTATTTACAAACATGGAGAGAGCGATTGAATAATGCTGTTTTTATAGTTAGAATTCTTAACTTTATTTACAATAAACTTATATTTTAAGTATTATACGATCCTGCATGGATCTATTAATTATATATAAGCTTATAAATAGAAATATGTATTTAGTAAAATATTCAAATGAAATTCAATAGTAACCAAAGAATTCTTCAGTACTCAACTATTGTCATATAATGAAATATAAAATATAAAATAGTAACTCACTTTGTAAGGTTTCAGCATTAAGCGTAATTCACCAGACTCGTTCAATTGTTCCACGATATCAGCATCCTAAAAATATAAAAAATAGAATGCATAAAAAAATAACAAAAATGTTAAGAAATTAAATATTAAGAAAAATAAAGCATGATATTTTTAAAATTAATTTATAAAAATATTTTTAATACAATATATTTTAATATAATTGTATGTTTATGCATGCATATAATTATAGTCAGTTCAAATTTTATAACAGAATCTGTTATTTTAATAATATTGCATAAAATATGGTCATTTAAATGCTTTATTAGTTTATCACATTTTAGAACTTCTTTATATTTATAATACTTAATTAATTTTTGGCAAAATTGTTTGCCCTCTGTCCTAGTACTTTATAAGAATAAAAATTAAAATAAAAGTATTACAAACTTTTTATTTTAATAATTTTATAAATAAAACAAGTATTTATTTAAATATACTATTTATTTAATTTGATCTATTATTTTTATTTTTTCCAATAATACTTGCGAAAGGAAAGGTTTTTAAATAATTAATTTATAAAATCCATATATTCAATGAATAACGTTTCAACATTAATAATGATACAGTGTAAGACTCATATATTATAAATTAATATGAAATATAAAATTACTTATTCGTATCTTATTGTTTTTTTATTATTCCTTTTAATTATTCTTCTATTAAATAATTAATACTTTTTGCTTATTTGTCTGTTATATTTTATGAAAAAATTTTATAAATTAAATATTTTATTTAATAAGTATTATTTACAAATGCAGGATGGTTATAAAAAGAGAAAGAGAAAGAGAGTGAGAAAAAGAGAGAGAGAGAGAGAGAGAGAGAGTCGTTCGGTGCACGAATTACGCCCTACGTTACGAACATACGTAAACACATCCAGATAGGGAGAGAAAGTGAAAAAAGGGGCTAAATTAATGTTGAATCAGCTTTGTGCGGATCTTCGTTCAATTTACCCGCGAAACATATGCGACCCCCCCCCCCCCCCCCCCCCATTACACCCCACCCAACAATATATGAACCCCCTCATTAAAAGTATACGAGGGCAGACGAATGTCAGTAGATTGAATGATCATCATCATTCAATGATTATGATCCTTCCTATTCGTTCTATATTTGAACCCGTAAATACGATAGTATATTGATCACAATTTTCGTCCAGCCATTACATTTTTATATTTTTTCTTACATAAATAAAGGTGAGATATTCAATCTTGTGATAGTTATTGTTCTAGATTCATTAGTTCATTAGTTCTTCATCGTGAAGAAGTCATAGTTTGTAACGCAGGTAATCTAACGTGACTGTTAGGGAAGAATCATAGATCACGCAGAGCCGGCATGAGTCTTTTTAATTAATATGCTCAGTTAAAGATATATGATCTAAGTTTTTCAATAGCTAAAAATTTATATTTCTTTTTTAGTATACTTAATTTTACATAATTAAGCATTCCAGTAATTATAATTTATATGTTTGTAAATTTTAAGAACATTCAAGAATATAGCTCATATTAACTATTCTAATAATATAAATCGTTTTTTATAATTTAAATATAAATAGGTAAAAATATATATTAGCTACATTTAAAGTATGCATTATTCCAGAATGAATTATTTATTATTAAAGGACTTTATCTACAACGGCATCTGTTATTTCGTCAAGTCATTACTCCTTTATAAAAAAAAATTTGTGGAGACAGTAGGAAAACAAATAACGAAAAAATGAAAACTTATAAATTTTCAATGTCCAAGAAGCATTACAACTACCAGATTTTAGTTTTTGTTCTTTTAAATACAAATTTTTATAATAAAATTTTTAGAAGAATGTTGTCAGTAAAATCTGTTTAATATATTTATAATAAAAATTGAGCAAATAAAATTATAAAGGTGTGTGAAAGTTTCTTTTCCTGATTTATTAATGAATTACTTTAAAAAAATTTTAAATTGAAAGTATAAGCATGGTTATGTAAACAATTGAATTAATATACCTTTACGAGTTTAAATATACCAAATAAAGTTTTGATATATCATTATTTTACAATTTTATTTCATATGCTTTATTAGTTTATTTAACTTTTTCTTCTTGACAATTTACTTTAATATGTAAAGCATATGTATTTTTTAATATTCAGAAATATCGACACACGATTTTATTCACTAATATTTTTATAAAATTCTTATATAGAAAATCCATAGATCCATATTGATAGTTATAGTTTCAAATGCAGTTTCTTTGTATTCCAGTGATATGTTTTTACCAATTTTTTCCAAATATTTATATACTTATAAATTTAAATAGTGTGAATTTGTATTACGAAGCATATATTCATATTCATATTTAATTTATTGGGGTTATCACATACTTGCATCTTTTTAATAAATAAATATATTCATGTCCATATTAATAAGTTACGTAGTCAGTAAAAATTACAAATAATTTAATTTTTTATATATTCAGTACATTTATAAGTGTATGTAATAACAAATTATATAATTTATATTATATATATTATATTATCGGATTTATCTATTGTTATTATATTTAAATATAAATGTATTATATTTATATATAAAATTATAAATTATAAAGGTAATATTAGAATTATGTTACAATCAAGTACATATTATTATTATATCTCTTAACTATAAATTGCAACAATAATCTTGCGTTATAAGCAATAATAACTTACCCCAATATATTGACCGTCAATAAAAAGTTGTGGCACTTGTATGGCTGAGCAGCCAATACGATCTCGAAGTTCGGTCTGTGACTCGGCTGACATATACAGATCCCGTTCCTCGTACTTCACCATGTGTGTCCTAAGGATCTGTTTGACTAACACGCAACGGTAATATGTCTCTCTTACAATACCCATAGTTGTTGTATATACAACTACTTTTCCAGCATCTTTTATTTTGTAATTCTACGAAACAGATTATTTTAAAATTAAATTATAATGTGAATAGAATTACATTAATAAAAATAGATTATAACTAATAAATTGAGATTTCTACTTTCATCATTTACAATTATAGATATTTTTTCAATAAAAATTATACTTATATGTAATTAAAAAAAAATTAAACACTATTGTCATACAAAATACTGTGGGAAATTAAATCTTAAATGATTTATTTTCTTTATTAATCTAAATAATAGAAATACCTGCAATCTAACTATTATTAAATGTTAAAAACAAAATAATAAATTCATTTATTTTGAGCAAAATGAAATTTTGTTAATTGAAAGATATCTTAATGCTTTTTTTAATTCAATAAACAATGAGTACTAAATTAAACTTTAATATACAAATATACATGTACGAAAGAAGTAAACTACATGTATGCTTATGAATTTTAGAAATACAAATTCGTCAAATGTATAAATTAAACTAATTATAATTATTATGATAAAAAATGAATATTTCATATTTATAAATATCTGTTTATTTATATTAAATGAAGAATACACGTTTTTATAACAATATGATTATAGTAATTTATTATAATTTCTACATGTTCAATTTATTATTGCATACTCGTCGTTATTACTTCTATATGTTGATATTATTTTGTTCTGTTAATGAAAAAAGATAATAATATAATATAAAATAATTTACGATTTATAAAGAATAAATTGTAATTTAAATTAACAATTTTTCCACGTATATATTTATCACATGTCAGCTACTTTAAATATTAATTAATTGTCTAATAATGTAATAAATGTGGTTTACTTGTATTAAAAAAATCATCTGCAAATTCTAACTAGTATTTTTTATTAATTAAGCGTATTATAGATAAAAAATAAATTAATGAAATAAAAATTATGTCTTTATAATTTCAAGATCAGTTAAATTACAAATAACTAAATAAAATAATAATTTTTACATTCACATTATTAATTTTATGAATTATTTTTGAAAGTATGTATATATTTAAAAGTTCTTATAGCTTCTTCTTATAATTGCAGATTTTACATCTATAATCGTTAATATTACACATAATACATTATACATGTGTTAATAATAAATACATATATCATTTAATTTAAAAATTATCGATTTTTAAAATAATTTTACGAATCAGCTCGATGAAATGTTCAATTATTGGTCGCATCTGTCTTACTATTCTGAATATTACTTACATATCGTGTTTTTGTGTTCTTATTTGATTGTAAATACGAGTCTTTAATTTATGCACATAAAAATACTTATATTACTTATATTAAAAAAACTTAAAAATATTGTATACGTTATTAAAATTGTCTAATTGATCATTGTTTATATTTCTGCCTATAAAAAATTTAAGTATATAATTATCTGTAATTATAACCAAAGAAAAATGTTATCATTCACGAAACTAATATAATTAAAAAGTTTTCATTATAAAAATTTTTAATTATAAAATCTTAAAAACATGTTCAGTTATTAAATATTATACTTATTGGTATTTTCTTCAGTTTCTAAGGTAATTGATCCAATTTTTTAGCTTATTATTTGAAAGGATCCTTAAAATATTTTCCAAAGCATTCCTAAAGCCAAAATAAGAGTTTCAAGATGGAAATACTAAAAGTCTATACAACATATTTTTATTTGTTTTTTTCTATCAGACTATTTCTGAAGCATGTACTTTTATTACGATTTAATGTTTATTTGTATTATATGTATTTTAACCTTTCAATCTCTTACTTATATATAATTATTATGTTTTTGAAACTGTGAGAATATTTTTGTCTTTGTTGAATTCTATTTAAATATTTACTTAGTTAAACTACTTATAATTTCAATTGTTCGTATCCTTTTTGCCTAATAGTTGTTCAATCTATAAAAATTTATATTTAATTGTTTTATTTAAAATTAATACAAATTATTAATTATTGTTTCTCAAAATCTAATAAAATCAATATTACTTTAATTTATTAAAAACTAAAAACTTCTATTACTTTTAATTATGAAATTTACATTTGAAGATATTATACTAATTAGGTTTTTTTATATTTCAGGCACAGTAAAAAAAAATTTTAGATTGTACTATTTCAAAAAGCACATTTTCAAAAATTTTATCGAAATAAAATTATTCAATGTATTTTATGTATATGAAATTATCCTCATTATAAAGTATAAATTATAAAATATATAACTAGTTATTATATTTATTTTCTTAAATTATGCTTTAGATATCCTTTTTTCCATACTTTTATTTTCTATTTTTAATTGTAAATTTGCAATACATATTTAATTTTGTCTTTGTATATATTATTAGTATTATTAGTAATATATATTATTAGTACAATAATATTTTTTAAATAATAGACAATTTGTCTATTAATATTATTGACGAACGTCTATATTTTTTTCAATTTAAACTGCATATTTTATTTTATTCTAAAATACCATAATTTTTATTTATTTTAAACAATTCAATTTTATTGAATAATTTATCATTTATAATTGTAAATTACTTATCTCGTATTATATATATTTATTATAATAATTCAAATATTGAATTATGTTTTTTGTATAATAGATTTTATTAATTTAAAAAATTTATCATTAGGTATTCGCTACTATAAATATATTGGAAACTAATAGAAAATATAGGATAAGTAGTACAAAAACATAATTTTGAATAATAATTTTTCATCTTACATTTAAAAACATTAGAAACTACGATATTAGATGTAATATTTAATTTGATGTAATTTAATTTAATTTAATGTAATTATTTAATTTTATAATAATTTTTTTTCATTTCGAATTTCATTCGTACTAAATATAACTTTATTCTATATCAATTTTAATCATACTTAGAAGTTATATACAACTATAGTAAATGAATAATTGTTCATAATTAAATGCACTTGCTATTCCATCACATACTTAATAGAAGTAAATATTTGCTCATTTTGGTTTGCTTATAAATATGCAATGAAATCACTAGCGGTATTAAAATAGGATAATGTTACAACTCATTAGGTCGTTCATTGGCAGTAAATTACCGCTATAATACTGTACCACACACCGTCAGTATCCACATCTAAGGGATTTACGCTATCATAAAATCTGTTTATTTATTGGATTTTGAATGGAAAACTCTTTAAAAATATTTATTATGCCTTCATGTTTATATTGATATTTTAAAAATTGTTAATTTTATATTTAAAAGAGAGCATCACTCTAATTACTTGTTTTCCGCCTATAACAACAAAAATTTTTTATTTGCTTTATTTACGTTTAATTATTTGTTTCGGCTCGTTCGATCAAATTTGATTCTGAATCAAAATTTCCAATGATTTCTTCTATCTTAATAAGGCATAAACAATTGTTTTCGTAATTGTAATCTGCAATTGTTTTTAGTATGTAATAGGTATCTATGTTTCCTTAGGTATTGCAATAAATCTATTCATTTTGGCCTATTCTGTTTGCTTTTATTACTATTCATAACTCTGTATTTCTTGCATGGATTTTTTAAAGCTTATATGTTCTTTAATATTATTACAGATATTCTAGTTTGATATTAATATTTAATATAAGTTTGTTTACAATAATTATATTTGCAAAGATGTAATACACAAAATCTCTGGAAATCAACTGTTGATGCTCAAATAAAATTAGAAAATTGTAATTAATTGTATTTGTAATTAATTCCATATAAACATATATTTTTCTTGAAGTAAAACCGATGGGAATATGTACATATTTCTTTAATTAAATTTTTATTTAAATTTTATTACCTATTCAAATGATAATGAATATTAAGAGAATTACTATTGTCAATTAAGTACAATTATATAATATCATTTGCGACAAATAAGGAATCAGCCAATCGGAGTTCCACATGTTTAAGACAAAAAAGAAATAAGTTTATTCGCAAAAATAAGAAAATGCTTTATTAAAAAATTTTCAAACGAGAAAGGACTAGAATAATTGTTAGTAAAAAGATTTAGAGATAAACTATGCTATTATGATTAACTTTATACGTTGCGTAAAAGTGAAATCATGAATAAATTTGTCACTATATCTATATTTACATATATTTAACAGAATTATAATCTATCTACAGATGAAGGCATAATAGAAATATTATTTTATATTTTGAAATTTTATAAATATACATTTTTACATTCTAACATTACAGCAATTATAAATAATATATAAAAATTATTTTTATAATTGATCAAAAGAAAATAATATACTTTTTTAAATTTTGAAAAAATATAGAAGAGTAAAAAATATTATTAAATACCGTTGCGTATTGAAATATACTAGAATTAAAAGTTAAGAAAAACTTTTATTTTTTCTTTCGAACCAAATAAAAAATATTTTAATGTGTTTTATTATGTTATAAACATGTTAATTAAATTAGTATATTATTATCGTTACTATTAGTAAAAAAAAATTGTATCCAATTTGAAAACAAAACAGTTTTTCAGGCCATATTTGTATATATTAATTACACTGAGAACTGTTCTTAAAAAATATAAAATTTTGTTTAAAGTCATTACGTATACTAAAAATATGACTGAGAAAAAATAGCACAGAGAAAATAGATCCGCTAGTTAGTTACAACCTGCGTATTTTATTTTACAGGCTTCAGACTAAAGATCGCAAAACTAAGGAGTAATATACAAGATTTTTCTATTTCCATAGAAGATAAGGCATAGATGCTCTGTAATAGCCTTATTAATAAGCTTAGTAGACCAACTAACATACCAAAATTTTTATACAATATTTTTATTATGATTATCTTTTATTAAATTTCATTTATTCAAATTTATTTTCTAAAATTTTAACAAACCTATGTAAAATTTTTTCATTTAAACTAGAAAATAAAACATTTTTTACAAATCCAATGGTAAAAATATATATATGAATAATACATTTTTAAATTCTTAGTTTATATTAATTTTAAGATCACTGTT